GCTGCCAGAGCCGCAAACCGCTTGTTCTGCCAACTGTACATTACTAACATTGGAAGGGGTCCAGACCTAGGAATCTTTTCTAAAAGCATTTGCTTCATACTTTAAATAGCAGCCCAGCAGGCAGGGGGATGGGAGGGAGGGCTCAGCCCCTGCGTGCGATCCATCTGCAAGCTTCTGCCGGCTCCTCCACCCCTTTGTGGATTAAAACCGAGGACGACCGCTTGTTCTGCCAACTGTACATTACTAACATTGGAAGGGGTCCAGACCTAGGAATCTTTTCTAAAAGCATTTGCTTCATACTTTAAATAGCAGCCCAGCAGGCAGGGGGATGGGAGGGAGGGCTCAGCCCCTGCGTGCGATCCATCTGCAAGCTTCTGCCGGCTCCTCCACCCCTTTGTGGATTAAAACCGAGGACGACCCGCGGCGGAGGTACGGGGGGGGGGAGAGCCGGTGGGATGCAACCTCCAAACCCTCCGGAGCTGGCAGTGGGGATGATGCCCCCCCCGGGATGTCCCCGCACCCCGGCACTGCCACCTGCCCCCTCCTAAACTCCCCAGCTCTGCGCCTGGCATATTTTCCAAATTAAATTAATAACAGGACGTTGGCGGTTTTTTCATTGAAATCTGCTCTGCTACGAGGTTTAGCATCATTCTTCCCGGTGCGTATGGGTTTTGCTTATTATTGGGCTGAACAGCATCATGTGCTGGGATGTCCTGAGCCCGCTGTAACCCATCCCGGCAAGGTCCAAACTCCCCGGCTCCTCTCTGTGACATGAAATCACGTCTCCAGGAGGGTTTCGGAGCATTAGAAAGAGCACGGCCAATGCTGCCGGATAATCGCCGTTCACAGTACTTTAGCAGCAAAACCACACCCTCAACAGTTAGCAAATATTAATCAGCTTTATGGCTGAGAAACAGAGAGGAGGAGGAGGAGGAGGAAGGACACGGGCAGGGAAACACGGCGTCTAACACTCAATATAACTACAAGGACAGAAAATTGTCTCTGACCACAAATATTCTGACTTTTTGCCGTATTTTTCCTACCTCCTCATGTAACATGCTCTTGCAGTAAACTGCTAAGAACAAATACAGGTGAAGTTTCTTTTCTTCGGTAATTTGGCGCCGCACTAGATAAGCTGGCAATACAGAGCAAAGCTCAAGGCATAATATTTTTAAGTAGTGCTTGTCCTAGTTAATGTTCAGCCCTGCTGTGCAATGTCAAGAAAACTAATGAACAGTGAAGTGGCAGCAAGCAGGAACCTAGGCGTACTCACCCGCTACCAAACTCCTTTCAGAGCCCAGGCACAACGTGAATGAAATCTAAAAGCAGTCGTCCTGGTTCTTCGGGAAGCCCAGGCAGCCCGCGCAACGTGAGCCGAATGCTTTGCTACTGTGCTTGCCCCAAAATTCGGTGCCTAAAATAACAGCAAGCGGGGAGGACTTACGGCAATGCCTGGCTTAAACTAAAAGAGGGGAGACTCAGACTAGATAGAAGGAAGAAATTTGTTACGCTGAGGGTGGTGAAACCCTGGCCCAGGTTGCCCAGAGAGGTGGTAGATGCCCCATCCCTGGGAACGTTCAAGGTCAGGTTGGACGGGGCTCTGAGCAACCTGATCTAGTTGAAGATGTCCCTGCCCACGGCAGGGGGTTGGACTAGATGGCCTTTAAAGGTCCTTCCCACCCAAACTATTCTATGATTCTATGGATCGCCTGTACATGCATACCCACGCTCTAGCTACGGGGTTTGGGAAAATTTAACATCTGTTATCAGGCAACATCACTCCACTCGGAGCGTGCGGCGGGAGCTTTGGCAAAGGCAACGCTTGACGGATGACGTGCTCTCAGCACTAATACTGAGCGGGATTCACCTTGTGCACAAAGGACAAAGCGTTTGCACGAAGGGCAAAGTATTTGCACAAAGGAAAAAGTATTTGCATGAAGGAAAAAGTATTTGCACAAAGGATGAAGTATTCGAGCGCACAAGATGGACAGCCCACAGCAGGCATGATGCGGAGCAAGCTGGAGCCCACCTGCAGCAGCTCCAGGAGGGATGCTGGGGTTGCAAGGACCTGAACGAATCCTACTCCCTCCTTAATACACCTCAGCCCTTCTCCTGGGCATCGCTTGAGCCCTTTGGACTTCTACATTTCAGTCTATGAGTTGACACTCAGGGTGAATTTTAACCTTTATACGGCTTCTCAAGCATCTCTTCTCTGTCTACCGGTTACAGCACCGTATTCACCGGCGGGAGGTGGATTAATGCCCCCTCTAATCTGTTCGGTTGGCAGGAGAACAGATCCGACAAGGGTACATGGTTCTTCACCAAGTCTTGCACAGCGTGTGGCAGAGCTGTCTGTCCTTCACCTTACCCAGCTATAAAATGGGGTTTCTGCACGCAGTTAACAGCAGTATTGCTGATAAGCACTTAATGGGCCTGATCCTGAAAGCTTAACAAGCACTTCTGATTATTTTAATCTAAGGAATAATTTCAGGATGAATCACACAGAGTAAACTGCCACCTTGCACCAGAAACAAAGGTGGCATCTTAAACAAGCCAAGCAATGAGGGCGAAGCGTACCCTTTTGTATTAATGCTTTCATAAAAGTCGGAGAAGGAAAAACTCTTGCAAATGGAATGATTATGTCATGATTTTTCATGAATTAAGATATGATTATCTGCTGCAATTTAGTGTCTGACGGGTACCAGGAGAACGCTCTTACTCTGAAGCTTCCCGACAAGCCAAGGCAGGAGGCTGCCGCCTTACCTTGCTCCAACCTCTTCATCTGCTGGATCTGATCAACCGTCTTTTTTAGGATCTTGCATTTGTCGGGTTTGACACTCAGAGTGTCGATGTCCCCGATGTTTGCAGACAGCAGCTCCGCCAGCTCCTCTAAATATTTGTTCTCCTGTTCCCGTCGCCGCTTTTCATTGCTGTTCGAGAAATAAAAAAAAAATTAAAAGTCATGTTAATGACTTTTTCCTACCACACCTGGGCACTGGACAAGAACCCCAAAATACAACTACTGGCTGGAGTGATGACCGTGCTATAATCCGAATATCTCCAAAATACTGGGGAGTTAGTTCAGGCTTTCGCATCTTTTTATGCATATAAAAATAATCAAAATTAATGCCAAAGGAGACACACAGGGCTAGCCAGTCACCCCCAACAAAAACAGACCTCTAACGTTCAGGACTCTGCCTTCCCCTCCAAAATAGTTATAAATGAGTTATAACAAAAAAAATCAAAAATAGTTATATACAGTCTCTTACTTTTCCACAGCCACTATTCCAGCTGTTGCCAAGTTGAATCCTAAATTCACACATAAAGGTTAACAACATCCACCAGAGTTCACCAAAGTGAAAATCTGAATCAATGGTGACAAGAGGAAGATGAAAAATATTCATTAGATCATCCTTTTTGTCCCAGCGAAAGCAGTTTTTCTTTTAGCTCCCGGCCGCTGCAGAAGCCCAATGTTCTCCCATCAACTATTTCTAAATTCTGGGAATTGAGAATATATTATTTACGTGCTATGACATGGCCATCATTGAAGCCACCCTCGACACCGTAACGTATTCCTTTACCAAAGGTGTTATAAACATCAAAGCCAACAAAACGAACTGTGCGTATGGGACAGACACACTGAGACACATTTCCCTAAATACCTTCCGCTACATCAATCACGGGATGAAATGAGGACAGCTCAAAATGCCCGACACGGCTCTACGCTGCTTGCGATGCTTTTTATCAGGTTGGTTTTCAATAAGCCACCTAGTTTTTTGTTACAACCTCCACAGGACGCCCAGCACTCTATGTAAGCAGTATTGCCTGAAAATCCCTATTATTTACTGGATACCAAGAAGCTGCTGAGATGCCTGTGGGCATGGTGAGATGTTTCTGGCCTCAAAGAGGCCCCACTGCACATGGAGGGGCTGAGAAAACACTGGTTACAAAGGCTGATTCCAAAAGTCCGGCTTGGTAGGAGATTTGTGTCCCACTGCAGATGTGCTCTGGCTTGCGCTACGTGGCCAAACAAGCTCCTCTAACAGCTGGAGGCTTCGAGAAGAGGTTTGGTTCATTTTATCTGCTGAGACTGCAAGCCAACGAGAGCATGAATATACTCTGATAACTCTGCAGAGACCCTTTAGAAACCGTATCTGTCCAAAAGGGGATGAGACAACACCAGCCCTCCCCTCTAAGGAGCACCTCAGGTAGGCTGCACAGATGTTTCTTTATTTTTTCCTAATTCCAGCCACTTTATCAGCTCAATATCCAGGTCTGACAGGTAGGTGTTGTCTCTTGGGCATTTTACTGCTGCTTAAACTTGCTCTCACATGAAAATACCTGATGACTGCAAGGATGAGCCTCCGTGATGAAGCTCCCCTTGCCTCGCAAGTTCACTCTCCATCACCTCGCTTCTCCTCCTGCCCATGTCTCTCCAGGTGGTGTGACTGCCCAGAGGAGCGACAGGAATGACTCGCCCTCCTTCAACTCAGTGGAGTTGAAGCAGAATCAAAAAAGAAAAGAAAGAATCAAAAAAGAAAGGAAAAAGAAAAGGCAAAGCCAGCTGCGGGTGTGGAGAACACAAGCCATGCTTCTGCTCAGGCCACTGATCTCGTGAAGTCCACAGGCGAGACCTTCCACAGGAGACACGCGGTGCAACCTGGAAACTCCTCTGCAATGGGCTCGGGTGGGCGCAGGAGCCCTCGCTTCCTCAGCAGGCAGCTGCCAACGGGTGCTAAGGGCTCACAGGCAGCAAAAAGAGCCTCACGGAGGTAGGTTGGATGTCCACCTGCTGCAGAAGTGCTGGACTTCTGACTTCCAGCCATGGACCTCAGCCTGTTTTTGCACAGGTATCAGTGACACCAGCGCTGGCGCGCTCCCCAGCAATGGGCAGGCAAATGCTTCTTGAAGGAGCTGAGCGAGTATTTTAGTTAAGGTCAAATTAATTCCTAGCTCTCCCTGCAATAGCAGAGGGGAGAGAAAAAAAATTCCCTCCGTTGTGGGTGAGCTCATTTCATGAAAACCCTTAATGTCGTTGTTGCTGTGGCAACTTTCAAATTGTAGGAGGGAGAATTGGCCAATTTTCCTTACATAAAAGCATCATGAGAATATTACACCAGTGGGCTGTTCTTTATGACTCCCAAGTATCATCAAAAGTAATAGTTAAACCTTCCAGGTTTTAACAAAGGAGTTTTGAAGTTCACTTTGCTCCGGAGTATGTTACGGAGGACTCTGGCCAGCCCAGGGAGGAGGATGAGGTCCCTCCCCACCGTGGCTGCGAGTCGGGAGATGGCCTGAAGGAAGGAAGATGCAGCACTGGTGAGGACTTCTCTTCTGGATTTTGGTAAAATGCTTCAGCTCCAGTGTTCGGGGTTGGATGGCCAATCCAACGACAAGTATTTGAGTCAACCCTTCTAAAAATGCTTGTAGGTGCTTTGTGGATGTGAAAACTTGTCGTGCTTAGACAAGAAAGGAGAATCCTTCATCCAGAAGTTTCTGCTCCTCTACGATCAGTTTGTTCCTCGTATTTTGAAAGACCCCTGGTGTTGGAAGCAGAAGGCTTTCTTGGGGTGCTTAGGGGTTAGGAAACAAACCGCAAGAGATCTGCTTTCCAAGGCAGACCAGATAAAGCAAAGCCAGGTGTGTGCTCATCCATCTGGAAGGCAGTTCCTTCAAGAAGAGGTGTCCAAGCCCACCTTGCTTGGACCCACAGACCAACAGCTTCACCCTACACTCACCTCCGGGGTGAGGACTGGCTCCGAGACCAGCCTGGAGACAGCAGCGAGGGCTGCAGAGCTCTGATTCAGATGACTCAGACAGAAAGGAGAAATATTTCACATGATTACAAAAGTATTTGTTAGGAATAAGACAGCTACAAGTGCTATCAAAACACGTTCTGCAATTATCAGTCCTTTAATGGCACAGCTAAGCCATGAACCACAGAGCCTCTTAAGAAGGTATGAGAACTCTACAGATGTTGCAACCAAAAACTGCAATAAACAGAAATCCTCAAACAACCTCTTACTGTCTCCCTACTGGAACACCGTAGCCTTTACATTTATTGTCTAGAATACCATGTATGAGCTGTAAAGTGATAGAAAATACACCTGGGGTTTGCTCAGTGCATCAATATTCTGTGACGATGAGCAAAACAGCATCCCAGGCGGCAGAGACATGAATTCAGCAGCAGCACTGTACATTCATCCTTGCTAACAGACTGTATCGCCATGGAAAAAGATGCACAGGATTTACAGAGAGCCTGGAAAAGCCTGTGTAAGGAGATCACAACTGCCTCTATCTAGGACTTCGTAGTCTTAAATCAGGTGGCAAGGTAGCTGGGACAGGAAGGCTCGGTCATAAGCAGAAGGTGCCCTTCTGCAGTGAGCTGAGCTTTGAAGCAGTTTGCATGTGCATGCAGAAATGAAGTTATTTCAGACAGAAATATTTTCTGTTCTGTAATTGCACCACGGAGCAGGATTCTGAATATTACAAAAACATGGATTTTTTGGGAATCTGGCATGAAGAGGCAGAAGTCTTGGGATGATCTGCAGACCTTGCAGAAGTATCTCCCCCAAATTTACCCTGAGAAAGCTTTCCTGATGCTCTGAGTGCTCTCAATTTGTAAAATCAATACATTAACTTTGATAACAAGCCTCTAATCATCATTTGCCACCTAACAACAAGCAGAGCAGATGGGGAGCAGCATTTCCATCATGCTCCATCTTCTACCGCAGCCACCGCTAAAAGCAAAGCGAAGTTCTGGTGGGAAGTGTGAACATTTCCGAGTGGCTGAAACCTGGCTCCATCTGCTCGAGCAGACGGGACGGAGCGACGCAGTGGGAATGACAAAGTAGCCGCGGCAGGGGACGGGTTGGGAGCAGCACACGTACCTCTGGGCTGTATCGCAGGGCGAGCCTTTCCTCTTCCGAGAGTCGGGGTTGGCAGGGTCCGTTGAGCTGTCCCCAAGGCCACTCATGTTGGTTGACCTACTTTGCACCTAAAACCGAAGAGAGACAGGGTAAGGACAAGCTTTTTGCAGCTGCACAAGGAGTGGTTCCTCTGTGGCAGAGCCAGAAAACATGGACCAAGTGACCTCTGAAGAGGTAACTAACCCAACGCAAGCCTTTCTTATTGAATTGATGCCTCGTTTGTGAAGGAAACAGTGCAAAGGGAAGACAACACGTGATCACGTTACCCTCCTTTTGGTGTCCCCCGGTCACTATTTGGCCAAGCAAGCCCTCACCATCCTTACATCACAGCCTGAGCTCTTGCCTGTATCCCTGCAAATTTTAGCTTCTTGGCCTTACAGCATTTTAACAACTATCTCAACACAGCCCATTCCAATGCTTTGTTTAAGTGTGTTTGATTGCTTTTGTTTTGGTTCCTGTTCCTGCAAGCCTCTCCTTCAGCCCATCTTTGGCTCCTCTGCCATCTACCCCCGGTTCCTCTGACTCACGGCTGGCAGAGGACACGCCACCCCTCGCATTGTGTCTGCGCTCCTGCTCCCCCACCACCTCCTTTCCCCTCAGCACATGGCCTGGGCTTTAATTAGAGCTGCAGACTGACTCATCTCTTAACGGGATGCGACACCCTCCCACGAACCCCTTCCCCATCTCCCGCTGAGGCTGCCTCCCACGCATGGTCCTCCCAGCCCCAAGCTTCTCCTGGCAGAGAGCTTCCCACCACGGCCGGTCCTTGGCCGGTTCCAACACTGGGCACCTCCTGGGTTCCAGCTATCTCCAATGGACATTTCACCCTTATTTTTGGGATGTAATTCAACAGATGTTGGGTAAACTAGTCCATGCTAAGGAAAACGAGAGGTCTAAGCAACCAAAGAAGGTCCAGAAGTCATGAGGACTATAACATTGCAATATCCCATATGTTACTGCTCCTTAACAATGAATTATATATTTTTATTTAACTGAGTAAAATACTATGTAAGCCCAATAAGGGCAAGAAAGCCAGTTAAGGCTTCTTTCTCGATACTCCACCTTGAAGGGTGTTAAAGAGGTTTGGTCAAAGACTGTGACACTCTGACCCAAGAACACAGCCAGTCCCCTCTGACTGCCTAAAGACATCTATAGGACAGGGTCAAAACCTCATACAACACATTAAATCAAGGGACAGAACTTCTCCAGAAAATAAACCAGCTATGCACGTTGCTTCCCTTGCTTTGCTAAAGCCATTCAGTGATTTTTTTATTCACTAACCACAATAATTCGATATTGGATAATGCCACCTTCCAAACTCTTTACTTATTTTAGAATTTTTGGAAGTGTTTATCATTGTGAGAAGATACAATCCCTGAGAAATAAAGCAAAGGGATTCTGGACAAGAAGGTAGTAGTTTAGAGAGTAAAAGATCTAAGTTCTTAAACTTAATTCCCTTCATTTCTTCCATTACTTTCTAAAAGCTGGAATTTTAACGAGGATTCAAATGCTGACAGATTATGATAAAACAAACCCTAGAAGGTACATCCACAGTTCCCACAGCCCATATTCCCCCCACATTTTATTCAGCCTGCCCGAAAGTGCGGTGGGATGCCTTCAGTGGTCCAGCATCTCCCACCCGCTGCCCAGCCCAGCACAAGGCGGCCGCTCGTCAAAAGCCATCAGTGCTGGCTCATCTCATGCTCAGATAGGTGATGATTAAAGTCCCACCAGCTTTTCAAAGTCCTCTGAGTCCCAAACCACATCTGCAGACCAGATCCTCCTGACCTCAGAGCAGGGCAGAGGGATGGACACAGCCGTGAGCATCTCCTCCGCTCCCTGGTTGCTTGAAGACCCCAGCGTTTGTATTAAAACCCAGAAGGCCAACCGTACCCTGGGCTGCATCACCAGCAGCGTGGCCAGCAGGTCGAGGGGGGGGATTCTGGCCCTCTGCTCTGCTCTGGGGCGACCCCCCCTGCAGTGCTGCGTCCAGCTCGGGGGTCCTCAGCACAGGACAGACATGGACCTGCTGGAGCGGGTCCAGAGGAGGCCACCAAAATGATCAGGGGGCTGGAACACCTCTGCTGTGAGGAAAGGCTGAGAGAGTTGGGGTTGTTCAGCCTGGAGAAGAGAAGGCTTCAGGG